AATTACTAAACCATTTTCAAGATTAAATCCTCCTTTTTTCATAGCCTTATACTTACTAAAACAAAGTATTATTTTCATAGCCATATACTTATATATTGATCAAAAGCTTCTTTTATAAATTCATAAAATTGAATACCTTCACTCATTGTGTTCATACCAATCGTAGAATCATCAACATATAAGTCTCTTAGAAATTTTTTAGTAAATTTAATATTTTAATGTATCTGAATAATTTTTCATGTGCTTTATAATAGTAGTATTTAACAGAAAAGGACTGCTAGTGATTCCAAATACTATTCTCAAGAAACGGTAAATAATTCACATGTTATTCTTATCGTACCATAAAAATCTCAATAAATCTTTATGCTCGTTGCATATACCAACATTTATAAATGCTTGGCGGATATCAGATATCAGTCCTATCTTAAACATGCGAAAATCTAAAAGTGTACTATATATGCTTGTCAGCAAACATGGTCCAGTATACAAGCTTTCATTGATTGAGGGACCATTTTCTTTTGCTGAACCATCAAACACTACACGTAACTTCGTTGTCTCTTTATCGTCTCAAATTACTGCACGATGAGGTAGATAATGAACTTTTCCAGGTACACCTGGATCATAGACTCTCTCAATAATGTTTTCATTTTCATATGAGTTTATTACTTCTTGGTATTGTTGTTTTAAATCAATATTTTTTTCTTATCAGGTAAAAATTCACACTTTGGTGTGAATTTTTACCTGATTAAAAATTACCTTTTTGTAATGTCAAAAATGACATTACAAAAAGTAATGTCATTTTTGAATTGCTGGTAAAAATTTTCTTGCTCTTGGAAATCACTGGATTCAGATTCCCAAAATTTTTGTAACTCCAATTTTAAGATATCATCATCTGATTGTGAAGTCGATACCAAATTAGTTTGAATAAAACTTTCTTGTCCACCAATGTCAGATGGACCACAAATAGTCCATCCTAAAATACTCTCAAGAGCAACTGGACCATTATTGCAACCTCTTATTACTTTCCCAGTAATTATTGAATAATAATAGTCCAAACCCACTAGCATTTCAACAGATTCATTGTTCTTTAATGGATAAAATTCAGCAAAAATGATTCCTTTTAAGTAAACATATTTTTGTCGCAAAAGATTAAAGTTAGGATTTTTTAACAGTGAACATATGAAAGGAATACATAATGCCTCCATATAAATTTTATCATTTAGATCTCTACCCTTCAAACAAACACGAACAACATCCAGTGTTTTGATTAGGTTTTCATCTGATGGAAATCTTTTAATAATTAAACTTTCTGTGCGTATCTTCTTCAACTTCAATAGGTTACGTAATGTATCTGTAATGTAAGTTCGATGACTGCATCCATCAAATAATACTCTAATGCAACTGGATAAACTATTATCAGGGTTTGAAGCTGTAGCTTTGGCAGACTGTAGAATAACATGGTTATTGGTATCTGTATGCTGGTTGTGATGAGTAATTGAATAACTCTGGACTTCTGATAATGATTTATTTAAAACCTTATTACTTTCAGCATCACATAAAGATATATCATGCTTCTTTTTGCATTTTATGCACTCATAATTTAATAGACAAAAATTTGCTTTATGTCCTCGTTTTAAACAAGCAAAGCATCTGTTTTCCTTTTGAACTATACTTCTACGGTTTTTTATGTCAGTTATATTTCTGCATCTAAATGATAAATGTCGATCTTTGCAAAACACACAAGTGTCTCTAGTTTCTTGATTACTTCTTGGAATAGTGTTATAGTTAAAATGTTTTTGATTATTGTTCAAATAGTGCTGGTTATTTCTTTTACTATTAATATGCATATTCTGTAATGTAATTGGTATATTTTCCTCTACTTCGATACTTGTATTGGTAACAGTTTCACAACGCTCTAGAGCTGAAAGTTCTGTCTTAATCACATTCATTAAAGTTCCAATCATCATTTTTAAAGTGTCTTGAAATAATAATGCATAATTCTTGTGGAATTCTTTCTGAGATAATGGCTATAAGAAGGGATCCATAAGAACATGCTTCAACATTTAGGTCCTTTAAATTTCTTATATTTGTTTCAAGCTTGTCATACATTTGACAGAGTTGTGATACTTCTATTAAATTTTGCGCTGGTTTTATTTTTCGGAGGTCATCCATATAAGCTGCAATGAGACTTTGCCTATTTCCAAACCTGTCCTTTAAAAGTTGTATTGCTTCCCTATAATTATCCTGGCTAAGTTTAAGTCCTTCAATAAGCTTTTGTGCTCTTCCAGAAAGATATGATTTTAAATAGTTGAACTTTGCTATATCTGAAAAGATCTTTATTGCTGTCGATTGCAGTTGAAAACTGATTCCAAAAACTTTTCCACGATAATATATTGCCTAAAAAACTTTGAATTATTAATTTTGGAAGCTTCATACATATTTTTGAAGAAACACTTCGAGTAGATAAATCCTCAGTTCATGCACTTGTATCCTCAACCTCGGATAAAATGTCATCTTTGTTTGCCAATAAGTCAATAATTTCATCGTCTAAAGTCTTTAATATCACTTGTTTGTTTTCTATAGTAGTCAATAATAAGTTTATCTTTTTAAGTTCTTTTAAATCGTCATCAATTTCTGCAAACAACTTTCTTAGATAAAGTCGATGCTTATTTCTTATTTGTTTTTTCTTTGCTAAAGAGGCCATCGACAAAAAATATCTATTAAATCAATAAATCTGTAAAAAATGTCTTTATAATCAATAAATCTCTCAAATAATATCTTTTACTATATGTGGGTTTTGGCAATATAAAAAACGTATTTGTTTCTTTTAAAATCAGACTGAAATTGGTTCAATATTATATATTCTTTTTTAACAAGATACAAGATAACGTGCTTAAATAGTAAAATCTAAAAACCAACCGCTACCATTATAAAAAACAAGAAAGTAAAAAACGTAGTTTAACAATAATGCTTTGCAGTCTCAAATCCAGACCAATCAATATAAGAAACGTCACATGACGCATACAGTTCTTATTACTGATTGATCTGGTTTTTACAACAATTTTAAATTCAACACTAATTTTTATTACAACAATCTAGATCCTTCTATATTTATGAATGGTAATGTACAGAATGAGTCATCTACACTTCGTCTTCTAGAATTAACTCTTACTTTCGATTTTTCTTGGAAACCATATTTTTTTATTATTTTTTTTAATTTTAATTCACCTCCTCAAGGCCGAGAAGGCCACTACAGACTTATTTGTGGCTATAACCCTCTCTCAACTCTATAACTCCGAAACACGAACCTTGACGAACAAGGCCGCTGCGCGGAGAAACGAGTTGAGCGCGGTACTACCAGGGACGTGGTGGGGATCGAACTCGGAACCACTCGTTTATGAAGCCAGCGCTCTACCACTACACCACTACCGCATCAAATCAATTGCAAAATTAATACCTGCTAAGATTGCATCTCTTTATTATGCTCACCACTTTTTTACTCCGGATTCACTTCTTTTTCTCTATAAATCTCAAATCGGTCCTTGTATGGAATACTGTTGCCATATCTGGAGCAGATCTACAAATGATGCCCTTTCTCTTTTAGACAAGATGCAAAAATCGATTGTAAACATAGTTGGACCTGCTCTTGCAGCCAACCTTCAACCATTGTCACATCATCACGTTGCTTTTTTTTTCCATTCTATAAGTAATAAAATGAGCGCTGCTCTAAAGAGCTAGCGTCTCTTGTGCCCTCTACTAAAATTCATTCTTGTGTTACTCATCATTCCATTAAGTGTTATTTTTTTTACTGTGACTGTTCCTAAGTACTCCAAAAGTTCTTGATTATCTAGTTTTTTTCCTTAAACATCAGTTCTTTAAATTTGCTCCCTTCATCTTGTTTTGCTGATTCATGCAATTTGCGCTCTTTTAAGTCATCTGTTAATTCTTATCTTGCTTTATAAACTTCATATTTTTTCTTCCAGTAACTTCCAAATCTGATAGTGGTTGCTTGCAGCCTTGTGAAGGTGTTAAAAAAAGTAATTGTTCACTTGAACTAAGTGCTTATATAAAAAATAACTTATTTTATAAAAAAGGTCGTTCTTTCTTGCAATAACATAGAATTGACAAATATAAGAAAAGAATTTACAAATACTTCAAAACCCTTTTTTTTATTGTGTTGTAATTTTAAAAATCTTATTTGTTACATTAGCCTAAAAACTATTGATACTTCAAAAGTATTTTAAAAAAGCACGTTGTAATTAAATTTAATTTTAAATCGTGTTAAAAATTATTTTAACTAATATAAAATTGTTTTTTGATTAACTGAAAAAGTTTATATTTCCTTATAACTATTAATTAGTTGAAAAAGATTATATTTCCTTATAATTTCTTTCTTAAAACAATCTAATACTTAACATAATTTTTTTGTTTGGTTAAGACAATTTATTTATATAAATTTTTATGTATTTAATGTAGCGTTGTTAAAAATGATTATGAACAATATTCAGATAGATTTTATCAGTTACCAATAAGATATTTGTAAACGTATTTGTCAAAAGAACTTTACACTATATTGAATTAATAAAAAATAAAAAATTTTAAATACATTTGTGAAAAGAATTCGCTTAAACAAAAATACTACTACCTTTTTGTTGGGAAAAAAAAGTTTTTAATTTGTTTTCGCAAATTAAAAACTTTTTTTTTTAGGCTAGTACACAGGTATAGGGGGAAGGAGGGTTACACAAAATCATATGAGCGCATACAACAAAGAGAAGGGATTTAAGACATCAAATAGGGAGGGGGTCCTAAGTCAGTGGTTTAACTGCGTAGCTTCTTTATAAATACCCCCTATCTACTGTGTTTAACTTGCCTTAATTTTTTTTTTGCAATTTTGATGTCTTTAAATTTTGATTCTCAAAAAGAAATATTTTTATGTCTTTATGGTTTCTTAAATGTTATAAATGTTAATAGATTTTATAAGTATTTTTTAATACTTTTAGACAAATGGTTGCTCGAAGCATTGTTGAGACAGTTCAAGCTATTAATACACAACAGGAGTGTCTAGCACTACTAGAAATTGTATCCAAACTTTCTCAAGATTTTGGTAAGTCCAGTTTTTTCTAAATAATTAGTTTGGAATGTGTTTGATTCCATTTAATTACAGTAATTACTATTTATACAATTGTATTCTGCTACTAATGTTTGAAGTTTTTTTTTTCTTTCTAATTAAATTTAAGTTTTTTTTTTTTTTTTTTGTTTAAGTTTTCCTTAAAAGCTTCTTTTCCAAATAAAATTTTTTAACCAAATTTAAATAAAACGTATAATTAAGTTATTTCTGATTATTCTAAATAAATTTTCTTTGTTTCCAGTAAATAAACTCTCTCTCTCTTTCTTAATTGTAATTATTATTATTTTTTTATGTGATTGTTGTTATTTTAAAAATTAAAAAAATGACAGAATTTTTCACTTAGAAATATGTTTTTTATCTTATAAAATAAATATATGTTTTATCTTATGAAATAAATATGTTTTATCTTTTAAAATAAATATACGTTTTATAAAATGATTATTTTATAAGCATGTAAAATCTATATTTGAATATGCCTACTAGATATTTTTACCTCTTCATACATGCAGCAAGATATTTTTACCTCCTCAAACACTACTAGATATTTTTACCTGATTTGGTAATTATAATATTGTTAGTTCTAATTAATAATATAATATACTAGATAAAGTAGTTTAATGAATTTATGGTACCAAAATGTTTCAGCTAGAAAAAAAAAAATAAAAAAATACCCAGGTTTGAATTGCCAGAAAATTAAAATGCAATCAAAGCAAAAGCAAACAAATCACCTTTTTTTTTTAATCTCCCTCCTTCACCCTCCCCATTTTAACAATATATCTTCAAAATACAAATTATAAGTGTCCTCTGTATGGAGAAACTAGTTGAGCATGATGTTACTAGAGACATGGGATTTTGTTTTAACACCTCCTGTTTAAAAGTCTGTTGCTACAGCAGTGCTACTTGTTGATTTAGTGATAAAATTATTTGGTGGAAGAATTTTACACGGAAACTTAAATACCATTAATTATTTTTTTTCTTAAATACTTTAGAACCATCTGTTAGATGGCAACTAGTTGAACAATTGCCACCATGTTGTATGCTTATGATGGATATTAAGCTTGTACCTGATGCAATATCTAACTATATACTTCCAGTTATGGTTAAGTATTTGACAGACACAAATAATCAGGTAGGTATTGTGTTTAAATTGATGCATTCTTCTATAGTTAATAAAAAATAGTTAGGTAGAATAAAAACCTTATAGGTCCAATTAATCCATTGATGATTCCAGAGAAAAAGTAAAATTTGCTTATAAAAAAATTATAACAATAGTCATGCTAGAGTTTAAAATCAAGTTCAACCTAAGCATTAGATGGTTAAATGTGAGAAATAATTTTTTTTATATAAGTTTATTTTTAGCATACATGCTTTTAATGAATGCTGAGTCTGTCAAGTTATAAAATCAATCACTATATAGAAACAACGAAATTTTAAAAAGTCAAGTTAAGTTACTTTAAAGCTTTTTAAAGTTTTGTTACTGTATACCTGAATACAAATGTAATGTAACAAAAATTTAATGTTTAAATAAATATTCATAAAATTATTTGTTAATTTTGCTTAGGTTAATTATTTTTTTTTTTTTTATTGCATTTCGAAAACTTTTCTATAAAACATGTTGCTAATATATGCTGTTTAAATTCCTCTAATTGCTAATTTTGTTTATACTTATATATAATTGTTTTTATTATTACTGTTTAATTATTATCTAAATTATTTCAGGTTCGCAAGTTAAGTCAAAATGCTTTACTTCAGTTGATGGATCAAGAAATACTACAACCTGATGATGCAGAAGTTCAAATATGTCCTGTTCTAATCAAACTTACCGAACCTGATAGTAGTGATGATTTTCGCACAGAAGCTATTACGGTGTTTAAAAGTTGTTTAAATATTTTTCTGCTGAGATTTTTTATTGTTTTACCTTTTGTTATATATATATATATATATATATATATATATGTATATATATATATATATATATATATATATATATATATATATATATATATATATATATATATATATATATATATATATATATATATATATATATATATATATATTTGTTACTATTTTATTAATTTCAGTTAATGACAAAAACAGCTCATCTTCTTGGAGGTATTTCTACAGAGAAAATATTTTTGAAAAGATTTGGTGAACTTTGCTCAGATTCTCTGTTTCATGTTCGAAAGGTTAGCTAATTTTAATTTTAATAATCAAATTTATTTTTAATCATTTTTAAATTCTTAAAAACTTCATTACTATTTGGATAAACTACATTTGATTGAGCAAACATAGTAGAAGTAATTAAATTTTGGAAAGATACATTTTAATTCAATTTTTCAAAATAGTAAAACAAATAGATAGTTTAACCTGATAATTTAATACCTTCAACTAAAAGAGGTCATAATATAAGGTTATTTAATACCTTTAACTAAAAGAGGTCATAATATAAGGTTTTATTGATAGTTAACAAAATATCATAGGAGGTATTCTTTTTTATCCATTTGAATAATTGGTAATTGGAATATCTTAGACCAAAGCATTGTAGAATTATGAATTTCAAATCAAAGTAAGATACATTTTTAACATAAATCAGCTGTTTAAGCATAGCTTAACAGCTGATTTATGTTAAACCATACATTTTCTTTTTGTACACAGTTGTTAAATAAATAAATAAAAACAAATAAATTGCAGATTTATTGAACAGTAGAACGAATTATATGTAACATGGATTTTAAAAATTGTTTGCTTTATCTATTTTATTTAAAACAAGAAATACCCTGAAACCAAAATAAACCAAAATTTGGGTTATATTAGTTCAATACTGAAACCCACATTTTGGCAAATATTTTACCAAAACTAATACTAAAATTTCAGCTAAACAAAACTAATTTCATTAGGAAATGTTATCTAAAAATGCATCTTTGCATTGTTACCAAAAATTGCAATTTTACATTGTTGCTTATTTATATTTGTTGTTTTTTTACATGTAATATTTATTTTTTTGATGACTTCTTCCAATCTTGTATGATAATAATAATAAATTAATATTCATAAATAAAACAAGAATTAAAATAAAGTATTGTAAATTTTTTTGCTCACTATTTGCCCAAGATAAGTATCTTTAATGAGATGTTATCTCTCTATCTCTCTCTGTTATCTCTTTACTTAATTTTTTTAAACTTTACTTAATGAGATGTTATCTCTAGCCTTTACTCATTTGAAAGCCCTGAAGCATAGGAATATTTTAAGTCTAAATAGTGAGTCCTATAAAGGATGATTGTACTGCACTACGTGTTAACAGTAGCCAGGTGTTTGTGATGATTCTGATCCTGACCTCTAGTGTTTGTATATAATGTTTTAAGATTTTTTAATTATATATGAAACTCAATATTACAATAATTTTTATTAGAGTTACTGTTTTCAAAGCAATTTTAACTGCAAACACTTTAATAGAAGCAAAATACTTGAAGCAGTGTTGTTCTTCAACTTTATAAAAAAACTTTTGCAAGTATCTCTGGATATATTATGATTTTTAATGCCAATACAATTCTGATTGAAATACAATTCTAGCCTTTTTAAGCATATTTACTGTAGATAATCTACAGTAAATATACATCTAAACAACTTGAGAGTCTGATGTTGTAATCATGTTGTATTTTCAAGTGTTCATCTTGTTTTGTATCATTTTCTTTAAAACTAGAAATAATGCATTAGCTACATGTTTTTTATTTTTTAAAGTAATTCATATAAACATCTTAGCTTTTAATATTCAGGTATGTGCATCAAATTTTGGTGATATTTCTAGTGTTGTTGCACCTGAAACCACAGAAACTGTACTGGTGAGTAAACATTTAAATTTCACTGTTAGGTTTCTTATTATTTTTTTATTTTTTCTCATATTTCAACGCTGTTATATAATTGTATTGAATAATGCTGACATGTTCTTAAATTCGTTGACTGTGTACAAATAAAAAGAGTTATTTAAAAAAATAATTTAACTTGTAGAAAGTAATTAATTGTAACAAGTTTAGATTATCTGTATAAAATATCTATGTTTTGTTAATTTATGTTATGTTTATAGTGTTGTGGTCACATTTTCTAACGAATGTTTTGACCCGCTTACAGGTCACAGGGACTGAACGGGGTTATCATGAATTTTTTAAGATAACCTCTTAAAAATTTATGTAAAAAAATTATATAAAATTTATTTAGTTAAGGACAAAATTTAATAAACTTGGAATTAAAATTACAACCTAGTATGGCTACCACAGTCATTATCAAAAGTTTTAAACATTTAAAAAATGGAAAATTAAATTTGTTTGTTGTTCAAAGTATTGCCAAAACTAAAGAAAAAAACAACAGAAAAATTTGCTCTGGTTGCTATTAGATACAATGGTTGAATATGATAAGTTATTGCTGCATATTAATGTAAAACATAACTGCATCATAAAGACATTGAAATGATATCATCAAATCAAAATTATGCTAAATCCGTTTGTTAGTGCTTCTGAAATATTATCTTAGGTGTTTTTCAATGGTGTTACACTAACTGTTGTGTTAATTAATAAGATATTTGTGTATACAATTCCAGTTAAAGGCATCCAGATTTAAATCAAATTTAGCATAAAATTTAAAAAAAAAAAAGATATTTGAGACTGTTGTCACCAGTTATTGCATTTTGTTTGAAATGCAAGAACTGGTGACAACAGATATTTATTGTAATATTTATAGATAAATGATTATTCATTTGGTTATTGTTCTAAAAACATCATAAGTTTGATTTGCCAACAACGCAACTTTTATTGGTAGGCTTATCTTAAAAAATAATTTTTTAAAACTAAAACTTTTATTTGCTGATGATCTGTGAAGAATATAAAGTATAACATATTACTTCTGAATGTTTAAGATATTCACTTAATTCCTGCCTGTTTAGCCGATTGTCTGAAAGTTTGCTGGCATTATTAAAAGTATTAAATTAATGAACTAATATTTGTTAACATTTAAAAATATTTCAATTACAATTCTCATAATTTTTATATATTTTTTTAAATTCTGATTCACTCCCAACAAGACTGCATAAAACCACTATTAAGTTGGGAATTACTAGAAAAAACAACAAGGCTTCAAGCAACCACTATTAAGTTGGGACTAGGAAAAAAAATAATAAGGCATGCTATCGGAAAAATCTGCCCACCTTTTTCGGTGTGGTAAAGCTAGTTAACGGTCCTTTTTTGAAATTATTTTTTTGTGTGTGGTAGTGTTTGTGTAATAGAACATTTTGGCAGAAAAATGTCAATCGAGCAAACTAAACAAAGATTTTTGATTGTGGACAAACACTTAAAAAATCGAACTTTATCGAATAGAAAGTTGGCAAAATCATTAAAAATATCAAGAAGAACTGTAGATACTGTTCTTAAACGGTTTACAGAACAGAAAACTATTCAGAGAAAACAAGGAATTGGTCGAAAAAACGCACATCAAATTCTAGAGCTCTCAAATGGTTGGAGACTTCATTGGAAGAACATCCTGATTGGTCTGATAGATTTCGAGCAAAAAAACTGAAGGTTTCCAATTTTTTTGTACGCAAATGGCGACAGAGACTTGGATATCAAAGTTTTAAAGTAGTTAAAATGCCAAATCGCAACGATAAACAAAATTCAACCGCAAAGACTTGAGCTCGAAAGTTGTATGACAACTTGTTAACAAAACATAATGGATGCATTTTGATGGATGACGAAACTTATGTTAAAATGGATTTTAAACAAATTCCTGGGCAGTGCTACTATGCTTCTAAAATAAGAGGAAATGTGAGTTATAAATACAAGTATGTAATGACTGATAATTTCTCGAAAAAATTTATGATTTGGCAGGCACTTTGCTCTTGCGGCAAAAAATCACAAACTCGTGTTTGTTTGGGCACAATGAAATCTTCGGAATACGTGAAATATTGTCTTTCTTGTATAAAACGACTAATTAAAGCTCATAGAAGTACTTCAGTATTGTTTTGGCCTGATTTAGCCACAATATATTACTCAAAAGTTTTACGATGATAATGGAGTGATGTTGCTTCCGAAAAAGATGAATCCTCCAAACTGCCCTGAATTACGTCCTATTGAAAAATATTGGGCCATCATAAAAAAAAAATTGAAATTAAGTGGAAAAACAGTAAAATCAGCTACAGATTTGAATAAAAAATGGGATTACGCTGCTAAAACATACAAAAATCACTCTGTCCAGAAACCTATGGGAGGCATCAGAAAGAAAGTCAGAATTTTCTGTAAAACTTAATTTTTTTTGTTTTTTCCCTATTAATATGTAATCTTTACAGTCTTAATTTTTCAGAAATATATTGATTTAAATACATTTAAGCTTTCTTACATCCTTTTTTGATCAAGAAAGGTGGGCAGATTTTTCCGATAACATGCCTTAGTTAAAGAGCAAGAAAATCGTTGAAATAAGACTTTTGCAGAGACAAATACAGTAAAATAATGAGACTTTGCTGAATGACAAGTCAAGCGAGAATGAGTTTTAGTTGATGGAACTAGAGATGATAGCTCTTTTGAGCAACAACCATGATAGTATTTGTAGAAAATAGAAAGAGATGCATTTATGATGATGAGAGAGAGGTTCAGGCTTGGCAGGTTGAGCAGGTCTAACTAAGTTTACAATGCATTTTTGGACCTTGTCTATAAAAGAAAGAGCATCAGTAGAAGAATCAGCCCAAATATGACAACAGTGTTTCATATAGGGATGAATAAGAGATTTGTAGAAATAGAGAATAGAATCAGGAGGACTAACATTATGATGAAAAATAATTTAATGGAAATCATGATTGGACTTTTTTTTATATAAAGACAGTTTTAAACTTTTGATTTTGACTGAGTTATAGAGTCAGGTTTAAAACTAGTTTATTGAGTTAAAAATTTTTAATAGCATTTAAATATAACAATATAATAACATATAATTATAGTAAAGCATTTATTTTTTATATTTTCAGCTCCCTTTATTTTCAAGATTATGTGAGGATGGTGTTTGGGGAGTAAGAAAGGTTAATTCTTTATCAATTTTTTTAATTTTCACATTGTCTATATAATTATTACTTTGTTTGAAGATTTATTTTAACTGTTTTTAAAAAGGCTTGTGCTGAATCATTTATGGCAGTTTCAGGTGCTTGTTCTCGTCAAGTGAAATACAAAACACTGTCACCACTCTTTGTTGGGCTTCTTTGTGATAAATCTCGTTGGGTAATTTGAAAAATTTCAAGATTAATTAATGCATAGTTTTAGAAACATTTTATTTAATCATTATTTGTATTTAATCATATTATTTTAAAGGTACAAATGGCAGCTTATCAAGCCCTTGGTCAGTTTATTGCTACATTTGCTGACCCTGGCAGAACAGGATTTGATGTAACTGAAGATGGTATTTTATATCAGTGCGAATTGCAAAAACCAGAAATTCCTTCAGTCATAGAAAATGATTCATTTCAATCTTCCAGGTTTTTAATTTCACTTTTTTTTTTGTATCTCAAAAATTTATCTCACTTCAAATAATAATTTTGAAAAATATTTAAGTCCTTTTGTATCATTGATTACAACACTCTTTTATTTAGTATGTCAAAGCCATATGATAGTAAACATCTAAATAATTCCCCACAAATCATTGACCCACAGAATGATTTTAACAGTTTTGAGTTTTGGCGAGTGCCGTTACCTGATATTAGTTTAAACGAATTTTTAGCTTGTGATATTGAAGCGAATCAAAGCTTAGCTACTGATAATTCATTAGAAAGTTCTCCTGAATATTTAAACGCTTATGTGATAATAGATTCAAAATCAAGAGATAATGTTGACAACACTATGGAATATTTACCTAAAGACCCATCTTATGACTCTTTTGATAAGACTGATACAATAGATTCAAACCATTCTAATGATAATGATTACTTAAAAATCTTTGAAGGGAACTTTGATGAAGAAGATCTTTTGGACAGTACTATTCATAATTTATCTGTGAATATTGAACATATTAAAAAACAGGTATGTCTTAATATCTTAAAAAAGCAGGTCTTAATTCTTATATTAAAATCTTATATTAAAAATCTTATATTAAAAACAATGGTCTTGATGTATTAAAAAACAAGTCCTAATATATATATTTATTTTATATTAATGATTTAGTTTTATGTCACATCTTTTTTTCATGATCTTAAATCATGTTATTAAATGCTGATAAAAAATGTTTCGGAACACAAATATTCAAAAAAAATATTTCATTCATAAAGATTTTTATTTCAAAGTTTCTTTTGAAACAGTCTTAATAATTAGTAATAAGTAATAAGTTAGTAATAGATAATTATAACTTTGTTTCTTTATATTAAATATCTTTATATATCTTTTTGTATATATAAAGGCTAATAATTTGTTTTATGATTATGGTATTCTGTATTTTACTTTTTTATGCGTTTTATTTTGTTAATTTTTGTTTAGTGTTTAAATAACTAAACAAAACTGAACAAATATCAAACTAAACATTTGGTAGTGGACTAAATCAATCAAATAGTTTTACAATTAAATAAGATGTATCATCAAACAATAAATTTATGAATTCAAGTTTTTGGCAATGTGTTTTACTTAAATTGCATATAGAAGTTTTTAATAATTAAAATCAAATTTAGATTTCTTTTTTTGTTGTTGTAATTTTTTTCAACAATAGTATTTAACATTTTAACTTGTAAACTTTTTATAAAAGACAATGAATGTTCTAATTTTCTGTTGATTTACTATCTGGATGATTTACTTTAAAGGCTGAATCATTGGCAAATCATTTGTATTTATATGGCAGTTGTGGCTTTTTTTCTAAGCTGATAATTATCCTATATAAAGTTTTTTTAATACAGATATAAATATTAGTAAATTTTTGCACAACAGAAATGACCTTTGTAGAAACATAATGTGAGCACAATGTTTTTCCAATAATATTTTTAGCAATTTTGTTAAACTTCATATCCTTACTTTTTATTCGTTCAACTGAAGTTTTTATTTGTTCCAATTTGTATTTAAATAAAGTTGTTGTAAAAATAATCTTGCTTGCAAAATGCTAAGAGTCTCTGTAAAAATAATCTACTCAGGTTTGCAAAATGTTAAGAATCTCTGTAAAAATCTTTTACAAACTTTAAAAATGTCATAGCTTTCCACAAAATATTAAAGATTTTTCTTTTGTTGTTATTCCAAAACCTTTCTTGCACTTTATTATTGCTTTTTGTAAAATTGGAATAAAAAGCTAGTTTTATAAAAAGGGTTTTTCATGTAAGCTCACATATCTGAATATAAATTGTTTCTGATATAATTTTTGTGTAACTAGAAAATAAATTGTTTCTGATATAATTTTTGTGTCACTAGAAAATAAATGGTTACTGATATAATTTTTTGTGTCACTAGAAAATATTTAAACAACCATTGTAGCAACTTATTCATTTTTTTAAAGTTTTCATTTAAAATTATTTTCTTTTCAGTTTTTTTTAACCATTTTTTGAGTAGGTTAACATAGATAGAAACCATTGCAAACAAACTTAAAACAAATTTAAAAAAGTATCTTTGTTAATTTGCTCCAATTTTTCACAAAATATCAATATAAATTCATACTTGAAAATTTTATTACAATCTCATTGAGCTGTATTCAAAAACAACAGCTCTTAATTTGTCACTACTCAGTGTAGTTGAGGAGAGATCCAAAAAAAAGTATAGTGTTTAGTTCCTTTCACTTTCAAAAAATGCTGTTTTATTTTGTGTGTGTTTTGATTGGTTTATTTTTAAAAAATCACGAATCTCGTTGTTTTACTTTATTTACAAATATTTGGTGATTTTATTATCAGCGAGTTTAAAGTTTTAGCTTAATACTATGGGGCAGAAGTTATACAAAAGCTGAAACATTTTTGTTTAGTAATTTATTCAAACGACTATAAAGAGATTATTGCAGTAAATTGCTATGAGTGAAAACTAATGTGAAAACTTCGATTTTAAAGTTTTTACTGTTTACAAAAAGATAAAATAAGAGGTTTTAGTCATTTATTGAATATATTAAAGCTGTAAACAAGAAGTCATTTTACTTTTGAATAAGAGAGACATTTTTGGAATCTAAATACTTAACACATTTGTTTAAGCTGTTTTTATGACGCTGCCCTGTTGCGCTTTATGTATTTTATTGGTAGTTTTGTTTTGCTTGATGCTTTGGTTAAAAGAAGATATAAAAAAATTATAAATTATATAAGAAAAGCTTAAATTCTATTTTTTTAAAATATAAAACAGTAATAGTGAAAAATAAGCGGAAAACACAAAAAATTGAAGTTGAAAAATGTAAATTTTTGTTTTTAAGAAATGCAAATTGTTCGGATCTCTCCTTAACTATGCTAAGTAGCAAGGCTTTTTTTAAGACACATCAAACTTATTACGCTATTTCAGTGTCTTAAGGTATTTATGCTCTTCTTTAGGTCTTTGTTTTATTTTAACACTGGTGGAGATCTGAGTTACTTATGTGAAATTTCCATCTAAGTGAAATTCTTTTTATAAATAAATCCTGAACAGTTTTAAGTAAAGCAAGGATTCTGCAAACTTATCTATTTTCTATTTGTAGGATCAAAAGAGCATTTAGCATCTCAAACAAAAGTTAACCTAATATTACCTTGTTTTTAAAATAGTAACTTATTTGTGCCTCTTATGATTACATAGATATTATGTAGGGATCTAGTCAATCATCCTTTACTTGTACAAATTAAATTTAAAAAATCCATTCCAAAAGTGTTAAAACAATTTTCAAAAAAGATATCTTATTTAAACTTCAGGCTTTTAATACATTCCAGATATTTTACTAGAGAATAAAGTGTTGTTTTTTTTAAAGAACCTAAAATTTTGGTCCAGTTGGGTCCATTAAAACAAACATTAGAACCATTAGAGCCATGTTTAATAACATTTTTTTTTTTTCAAAATGTTTTGCAGATTTTTATCAGTCAAGAGAAGATCAACATTACTTATATGGTTCTTATAAGAGAAGATCAACATTACTTATATGGTTCTTATAAGAGAAGATCAACATTACTTATATGGTTCTTATAAGAGAAGATCAACATTACTTATATGGTTCTTATAAGAGAAGATCAACATTACTTATATGGTTCTTATAAGAGAAGATCAACATTACTTATATGGTTCTTATAAGAGAAGATCAACATTACTTATATGGTTCAAAAAATACAATATTCAAGTAATGGGGTTATGTTTATAATTTCCTCAGTCACTTTTTTTATCTGTCATTATATAAATTAATGACAGATTTATACCTGCATTAGAACTTTGCTATCTTGAAAAAATTTAATTTAAGGCTCACATTGAGACACCACTTGATGACTTAAAAAACTTAAACAAAAATATCTTTAAAAGCATCCTGTAAACCTCAGAAAATTTAATTTTTAAAAAGACAACTGCTTTACCTCAAATAAGATCATTATTTATATTTAGATGAAAAATTAAAAATATATATTGCTTTCAAATTTGTTTTCAGCTGTCAACATCTAAAGTCAACTTACTGGAAAGAGTAGTTTAAAAAAATATAAAGTAGAAAAAAATTCAACTAAAATCCTATAAAAGTAAATTTTTAAAAGAAAAAAATTATAGATAGATATTTTGATTAGATGTGTACCGGATATGATTTTTTACATATCTGGCCGGATACGGATATGCCAGATATATATTTTTATATTCGGATGGATATGCTGGATATGTTAAATATTGTAGGAGAATAAGAGAACACGGTTTTGTAGAGGTGCCCCCTTCCCCAGTGATGACTACCTAACTGTTGTCGTGACCAAGATTCTTAAATATTACTTATGTTTGAGTTTTTCCAGTTTTATCTGAACTTAACTTAGACCATCAAAAATGATAGACGCAGCCTTTGCTATATAATGCTAATCTAAAAGTTTTGCTTAGAGATGTCAGTTTGTGGCAAAAAAATATTATTTTAGGTCAAGATTGCTTTTGCATTTATCTTATATTTTTTGATTAATCTTAATTAGGGTATATACAATTGCATAAAAAAATGTAAAAGTGGTACAGATATATTATTTTAAGCATATGAGTTTGTATTAATTACCATAGTAATTAATAAATAGTTTTTAAGAAATGACAGTAATTACTATATTTAGTCTTTATTAGAATATATCCCATAAAAATATATTCTCCATATTTTTAATAAAAATAATTTTTCTAAAAAATTTAAATAAAATTCTATTTCTAGTTTGTTTTTTCTAGTTATTTGCCACAAAGTGACGTCACATTCGCTGAAAGATTTTCTTTCAACGATTTACGAAAATGTTTATCATTTTTAATGGTCTAAGGAACTTAAGGAGTTGCTAAAAATGGCGTCTCTGCAGGAATTCTAAAAATTTTTAAAATAGGAGAATTTTACTATGGGTGTAGTATATTTCTTTAGTAGCGTACGCTACCTAAATATATATAAAAATTAATTAGAACAATAATTTTTAAGATTTTAATAAGCTTTAGGTTGCAAATATTACATCCTTAAATAATGTTACGTAAAAGGGTGAAAAAGGAGGTCAAGATAACAAGGGGAAAAAGAGACAAGAGGAGATACGATATTTACAACTAAGTTTGAAAATAACTTGAAAAATGTTAACTTTTATATTAAAGCTAACATTTCGAAAGGTTAGAATTATTTTGTTCTGTCTCCACATTTTTGAGTTTTGAGATAAAACAATTAAATAAGCAAAAACTTTAGGAGACGACACATTAAAAGATTTTTATTACTTATGTTTTCTCCAAAACTTTTTTTAATTTTAACTTTTAAGGTTTTAATATATATATATATATATATATATATATATATATATATATATATATATATATATATATATATATATATATATATATATATATATATATATATAATAAATTTAGAATTTTTAACTATTATTTTTATTTATTTTAAAGTCTTTACTTTCTACTTCAAAAGTTTTTTTTTTTTCTTTTTCCAAAATTTAGAAGTGATTAGTGAACTATAGTGAAAAAACAGTAATAGTGATCAAATTTTCATTCATTCAAAAGTGAAATTAGCGTGATTACTATATTATTTCACTAATATACTTAATTTTCACTTTTATTAATTAAATTACTCAAAAACAGTTAATTCTTAATTGTTATAAAAGTATGAACACTAGTGGGATAAGATATAATCTCAAAAAATACATATCCGACTATATCCGGCCAGATATATGATATATCCGGCCAGATACTGGTTACCGGATTATCCGGCATTTTTGCAGGATTATCCTGCCGGATGTCATATCTGGTACACCTCTAATTTTGGTCAGAACTTTATAATAATTAAGATCTTAATTATTATAATGATCTAATCAAAATATCTATAATTTGTATATATATATATATAATCTGTAATTTATTTATAGAAAAAATAAATAAAACAACTGAACAATAAGGAGACTTGAAGAATTTTTAAAAACCTCAAATCAAATATTTTAGTTTATCTAAATTTTTATGTTTTTTTTAATGTAACTTTAGCTTATGTAACTTAAGCTTTTCAAGCATTTTTAACGTTTTTAACGTTTTCATGCATTTTGACAGTTTATACCTTAGAAAATGCTGATATTTTTATGCAATGCATAAGCCAACTCAAGCCACACTTTAAATAGCGAATCAGTATTTTGGTTTATTAAATGAAAATGGTTGTTATAGCAATAAAAAAATTATTACAAAAAATGTTGGTATTACATGGCAGAAACTATTATTTTGAAAATAGTGACTGAATATCAAAGTAATCAGTAATATTTTGAGGAATAAGTAACAAAAAATTAACAAAATTTAAATTATATAGGTGTTTTTATTGTGGCTCTATAAAGTTAAAATTTTACCTTTTAAACATTAAAATTAAATTATTTTTCACAGACAAAATTAAAAAATTTCAAAATTTGTATCACAAGGTACCTTGATATGTACGCTAGGTACACACCAAGGTACCCTGTGTTACCTATGCCAACCCAGCTGATTGAGTCAGCTAGTTTAGCATTGTCAAGATTTGTGCAAACCATGTGTATATAGATAACCAGTATTTTATATTTAATTGATATATTATAGTTATTTAACATAAGTGTATAATTATAACCAGTTTTTGATACTTAATTAATATCTTATAGATATTCAACATAAATCTGTTATATATATGTGTATTTTATATAGCCAGTATTCACAAATATTTTATTTTTTTTATGTCAGTTAGCAGATTTGCAATAATTCATGTTTTTGTTTGTGTTTTGTACTTATGTAAGTTTACACTTATAAAGCAGTTATATAGGTTCACAGTTGAGTTTAGCTAAACAAAAGATTTAAAAGTTTGGTGCACTTAAGTTTTTCCATAATTATGGATACTACACTAGTTTTAACACACTATACTAGCAGTAAGCAACCCGTAATACAGGTTGTTAGTAAATAAAATTAAAAAAAACAAACTGTGTATAGAAAATGACATAAGTCGACCATTAACTACTATT